TATGAGGACTCTTATTTAAATGGAATTAAAGAATCTTAACAACTGGTTCAACTAAACAAGTTGATTCTGTGATTTTCAATAGCATTAAAAGTTAATAGGTTTACCAACAGGGTGCAGCACTATTTTTAGCGAATTTCCCTATAGGGAAGTAGCTATTACCGTAGGTGGCACGGTAAGACCTAGACCCGGGACCGATTTACTTTTTCATTTTGATGTCCCCAGAGGCCAAAAACACCATTCGTTCAAATTTTTATATATGTATATATATATATATATATAGACTTATATATATATATATATATATATATATATACGTCCGTGAACGCGATAACTTGAGTAATTTTTGTCCGATTTTGATGAAATTTGGTTTAAAGGTGTAAAGCGGGATAAACTTGAATGAGTTCGCGAACCAGCACGATCGGACCATGGGAACGGGGCTTTACGGGGGGTTTTATGGGGTAAAAATTGGTTTTTCTCACTTTTGACCCTCAAAACACAAAATTTCCCGATTTCTCTTTAGACCTCTTTAAAGAGCTTAAAAAAACAAATAATTTAGTATATAAAAGTATTTTTGTTCGATTATTAGTAACGGAGAAAATTAAAAAAATTGTAAATTTAAAATACCCATGTTATTCTTATGGAGAATATTGTCAAATGTTGTAGTTTGCTTGTTTATGGATATATTTTGATCAAACTTGGCAAATTTATTTATTTTGTACTAAGCTATCAATATTTTACTCAAAAACACACTTTATTAGTTTCCTTGTAGCAGCAAACCTAGGTACTCGTTAAACCTAATGTTATTAAAATATATTTCACTGAAAATCAATTCAGACAAATGGAAATTCGCTTAGTCGGCAGGTTTGCTGCGGCGGGGGTATTTTTTAAATAATGACAACAGCTAATTTTCAACTAAAAGGTGAGTGAGCATAGCGAACGAACTTCAACCTGGAGGCGAGTTAGCGTAGCGAACGAGCTAACCTGAAGAAAAGTGAGCACAGCGAACGAGCTGCAACCTAAAGATGAGTGAGCGTAGCGAACGAACTTAACCAGGACGAGATTGAGACGTGCAAACGAGCTCATCTTGAAAATGAACGAGCATTTGACATAAGACCACATTTGGACCGGACGGAGTCTGTCGGGCAAGCTAGTTCAATATAAAATCCAATGTATGTTTGTTCGTCCTTTATGGACTCCGAAACCGCTCGACAGATTGTAATGAAACTTTCAGGCATTATTACAGAATGGTTTGTGTGAAGTTTGGAGCAGTCCGTCAAAAGGGCTCCGCCCCAGTGGCTCTGGAGTTTCCCATGTTAACCTTTAAGTCTTCTTAGCCTTGTTTCTCTCGCTTAAAGCAAGAGTCAATTTATTCTTTACTATGCTACCTCATTAAAATTGGCTTTTCAGTATTCAAAGTTATCATCCTTTTTTTTGTTGGTCTCAGTTGTAATTGCTTTTTGCACTACTGTAATTAATAAAGACTAGATTATGTTACCTATACAAGGGTTTTAATGTTCATTTGTAAAGTCTAAAAATGTTACTGGTGTGTAATCAACACACAAAATATCAATTATTATTCCTAAAATATATCAGTATTTTGGAGTTTGTGTTAAAAAGTATTTTTGGTAACATGACTCTGGAGGAAATTGGTACCAAATGAATATACATAGGTCTAATAAAACACAATAAGTGCATTTAATTGCCAATTAAAATACATCAAACAAGAAGGAGAATGTTTTAAAAATAAAGTTGAAAGAATTAAAATCACCTATTGATAATTTAAGTGTTTATAATATTAAATATTGGATTTAAGAATCAATACTAAAACAATATTGATTTAAGGATGAATATTAAAACAATACAGATATTGTTTTAGGAGCTGTACAATGTCCTTTAGACTATAAGTTATTACTCTTGTTTAGTCCAAGCAAACTAAAAAAAAAAAAAAAAAAAAAAAAAAACACAGACACAGGGATCGTTTAAAAAATTGCACAAAGTTTTATGGTTTTATTTTGTAGTGTTGGGTGTGCAGAGTGAAATACTAAAAGTTGGCCAGAATCAGTCAACGGGACAACCCCTAAAATCACGATTAAAAGTGGTGTGGCTTTTCCCAACATTGGACAAATTTTGAAAAAAAGCTACCACATGCATTTTTACATGCACATTTTTTTGAGAAATTGACTTGGGATTGGTACTTCATTTTGATAGGGAACGTGTTATTGACCGCCATCTTGGATATAAATAAAATTTGTAAATGTAATAATAGTGTTGTGACACATTATTGTAAAATCAATTTTCACGCTGATTTCATTGCCGAAATCAGTTTTTAAATATCTGTTTTTGTTTTAAAGATATATTCAAACAAAACCCTCCCCACATTTTTAAGATTATTTTCTTATATCTCCAGGTTTTATTAACGCTTGCAGTTTGTTATAGCTTTAAAATATTCAGTGATGTAAGTGTTTTAATTTGAGCTATTGATTATTAAAAATGGACTAGTTAGAGACAAGCTACAAATCCCAACACGATATTAAATTTAACTTTTTAGAAATAATCAGTTTTTATTAAAAGATTTATATCTTGGGCTGTTAATACATCACCAAGTTCTTATACTATTCCTAAGTTACCTCTAGACAGTACTATTTTTATAAATACTAGTTGTTTGTACTTAATATGATCTAACTACTTAAACATAAATCAGAGTTTTAATACAAAAGAAGCTGGTTTTTTCTTTTGTAAAAGAGGTCTCCATTCCAATAATATACCAAAGCTAGTCCTATAAAATATGTTCTCGAAGAGTAATGATGGCTTGGGCAAGCAAAAAACCATGACATGTGATAGTAGGACTTTCAGACTGCTATTCAACAAATCAAAGGTTAAATATCCTCGTAATGAGCACAGTGGTATTTACTGGGGGGTCTTTTGAATGACTTTCAAAGCACATACTTTACATGAGTTATAAGTTTTTTTTATACACATTTTTAATGTCCAAAGTCCATATTGTATGTCCAAGCTAAATTTTAAAATCAAAATTATTCAAGACAAATGGCATCTTGATATTCATTATAAAACAATTTTTCAAGTTACATTTACTAAAGTGTAATTGTTGATGTATTTTTATACAGGGTGAGTTTTAAATGTCCCCCCCCAACTTTTTTCTACATTGTTTTAAATATCAATCCCAGACCACTTCCAAACATTGTTGGGTAGTAAGTACTTCATTTTGACAAGGTGGTCATTTCCGGCCGCCATCTTGGATCCGCCATATTGGATGCAAATTTTTTTTTCAAAATGTAAAGGTGGGGTTGAGACCCATTATTTCAAATTAGATTTTTACCCTGATTACAATGCCACAAACCGTTTCAAAAAATCTTGATTCATTCAAAAGTTATGAGGGCTTTTTAAAACTTTATTTTTAGCCCATTTTAACATTGTGCATTTACAAACTAAGGACCATAATCTCAAAATAGTGCTAGATAAAGATAAATATACACTACCAGTCATTGTCGACTTATTTTCACTTGGTTATGACTGATGTAATTTTTTCGGCCGCCATCTTGGATCCGCCATTTTGAAATATGATAAATTATTCTTAATATGAAGGGTGTGTTGTGACCCATCATTTCGGATTACTTTTTTAAGCTGAACTCAATTCCATGATCCGTTTTTCATTTTCATATTATGATTTTGAAATATTCACATTTTTAACAAAAAAAATGCAATATCTCATAAATAAAACTTGATAACAAAAAAATGATTGCGGCATTGAGTTTAGCTTAAAAAAGTAGTTCGAAATGATGGGTCACAACACACCCTTCATATTTAAAATAATATATCACATTTCAAAATGGCGGATCCAAGATGGCGGCCGAAAAAAATACATCAGTCATAAATAAGTGAAAATAGTTTTACAATAACTGGTAGTGTATACTTATCTTTATCTAGCACTATTTTGAGATTATGGTCTTAGTTTGTAAATGCACAATGTTAAAATGGGCTGAAAATAAAGTTTTAAAAAGCCCTCATAACTTTTGAATGAATCAAGATTTTTAAAAACGGTTTGTGGCATTGTAATCAGGGTAAAAATCTAATTTGAAATAATGGGTCACAACCCCACCTTTACATTTGAAAAAAATATTTTGCATCCAATATGGCGGATCCAAGATGGCGGCCGGAAATGACCACCTTGTCAAAATGAAGTACTTACTACCCAACAATGTTTGGAAGTGGTCTGGGATTGATATTTGAAAAAATGTAGGAAAAAGTTGGGGGGGGGGACAATTAAAACTCACCCTGTATATTATTATCATTTCATATTCTTGTTGTTTTGTGCATGCTAATTTTTGTCCTATCTAACAAATGAGTAAGCCTATTGTAATTCTGTGATTCATGTAAAAGTGGCATATCACCAAATAAATAAAACAAATAAATTAGAATAAAACTTGGATTATGAACTATGTATATGAATTAAATGGGGGGGAAATATTATACTATGAGCTATGGACTATGAACCAGGTCACATAATTACATAACTAAAAGTGGAATTTTAACCCATGTCTTCAAAACATAAGTCATGCACTAAAAGAGGCCTGCCCCAGCCAATATAAGAAATTTTCCTTCAGAAGAAGACTGATAAATACTATCTAAATTATGACTGTTTAAAAGATCAAATTACAATTGTTATTTAACAGCACTACCCTATATAATTTATAAAGGCAGTTTGTCAGTCTTATATCCCTGTTGGAAGTTGGGACATTTTTGCACTGGATTTTTAACTGTTAATAAGAATGTTTCAATAACCAACACAAAACATACAGTAAACCCCTGGTGAATTAATATTAGGCTACTTTAACTCAAAGTTGGAAATCAACCACTTAGCTTTCATTAAAATATTGTTAACACTCACCTTTTTCTTATAAGAACGAAGGGTTTTATAAGAAATAAACCGATTCTTCACATAAAAGACCAAAATAAACTAGTATAAAAGTACAAAAAAAAACTTTAACGGTAGTATCAGGTTCAGGGTTTCTAAGAAGTTTTATTTGTTAAAAAGTGCACCTTATTTCTAAATCCATAAGATACAATTAATTACAAAACAATACATAGTCTAACTGTGATGCAACATTTAAAAAATGTTAAAAACAATTTAAACAGATTGTTTTAAGGCATCACTGGTTCCTATCACAGCCGTAAGATATACAAAATTACTAACAATAAATAGTTAGCTAGTTTAATAATTAATTACTGCTTGAAAACATAACCACTGTGATTGCCCAGCAGTTAAATTACTTTGAAGTATACAAATATTTACCAGAGTGTCTACAACAGTACCTGCCATACAAAAATTCAAGGTTGTTCGGAGAGTTTTAAGGATACTACTTCAGAAATGTGTGAAATATCAAATAATGAAACACCTTCTATGTCACACACAAAACCTTACTTTCATACCATCTGACTCCCACTAATTCAAACCTGTTGGAGAAAAAAAGGTTACTTCATTTACCGTAGAGAGAAAAAAATTTCATGGTAAGTAGGAAATTTGGGTTAACTGCTAATAGCCTATGGCCGAGTGTCAATTCAGGGTTTTATTTTAAGACCAGAAGATGATGACGGATATTTCTGTAATCTTAGAAGATCATCACCATGTTTCTGGGATTGCACGAGCAATAAATGGCCATTTACAATTTGTTTATCTAGTTTTACTGCTTTTACAGGTAAACGTAATAATTTCAAACGTGGTCTGGTCCCCATTAGTTTGGATTAAACTAGCAGGGCTCTGGTATATGATAAAATATTTACATATAATTACAAGATACACGATTGTAATCTAACAAAAGACATTGACTTTGCACATCACAGTTCACAGTAAAATTAAATTAGAACCAGTCGAACTCTCTCTACTTCCCAACTCACTTATCGACTCAAACTCTCGACAAACTTTACAAAAGTAATAAGCATAACAATTTATTGTGTTTGTGACAATTCATTACTTCCTTGATGAAAATTTATACACTTTTAAGTGACAACAATCATTCATACATTGTGAAATTCTGTAAGTTTTCAGGGAAGTCCAGGACCCAAACTAAATATCAGGGACTTTTCTGAAATATCAAAGTTATACAGGAGCTGAAGACACCTTGTTTACTGGATCACAGTTAAAATCTTTACTTGGTCACATTAGTCTCTTACCTTATAATCCTATATTGAGCATTATGTAGGCCTATTACATTACACTAGTATCAACATTTATGTTTGTACTTTTTTGAAAACATTATTATCAGTACCTAATCTATTCATAATTACAGACATTATCTTAAAATAGTTTCTTCCTCTGTCGTGCTGTTGTCTTTTTCTGCTGAAACACTTCTTTCTCCGCCTCATCTGTAAAAAGATTTCATATAATCACTCCATATGTTTAAGGTGAGTATGCGTTTTTGTATGTAAACTATTTACTATGTAAACAGTCCACCCTGGGAAAAGAAACACCAAATCTTTAGAGTTTATACAAAAATAACAATAATTCTACTGTCACTGACAACATTTTTTTTAATACAGGAAAGTTTGTAATAGAAAAAATTGTCTTCAGTTTCAGAAAGTTCATCTTCATCTGATGACTGGAACTTTTCCTAGATTAAAAAACCTAAAAAAATGGTTAAACTCATTTTGACTTCACATTGTGAGAGTGTGGGAAAACTGTGAGGTCAAGATTAGTAGTTTTCCAAGTTGCCACATATGCCGCCACTGTCGCCTTTAGCGTAGTAGTGGGTCGTAGTGTGAGCTGGCCTTATTGGCCGCAATTTTTTTTTTCTGCGATTATGAAAAAAGGTAAAGGCAAACTGGTCAAAGGAAACGACACATTAATTTGGAAAAAATTGCTACAAGTAAATTTTAATTGGAAAATGACATCGTTTTTAATTTTAATTAACTAAAATTGTGATTATATATTTTTAATTTTATTTCTAAGTGACAAGTTTATTATTAAAATTTTAGTCAGAATTATTTAACAGCCATAAATTTAAATTAATTTATTACCTAATTAAATGAAAATAAAATTCTGAAAATTAATTTTTTGACCAAACACCCTTCAACTGAACTTGAATTAACTAACACCACAAAAAAAAAAAACGAATGAATTAGAAAATTAGCTAGACAATGGAACCGTCCGACAAGGGATGAATTATTGGCCAACGAAATCTAATGGAGCAGACGATAATACATACAATGTTATTAGTGATGTCAAAAACGACCACTGTGAATCTTAAGGACCTTTAAATTCCAACCACTGATCAGCCAAAAAATTGTTTAGATCAGAAACAGTCTTACCTCCTTTATATACTTTAACTGCGGTTTTACTATAATGTTAGTGAGAGCAATCAAATGTTTTGTGGAAAGATTAATGTTGTGTTTCTTGGGCTAGAGCGGACCCATCAAGGTAAGCCAATCACTAACCAATCAAAAAGCCTTAAAATCTGGGCCCTTGTGCATATGATAAATGTTTTTTTTTTTAATTTAGATCAGTCTTTCAAATAAAATCTCTTCATTTTGTACTTTTATGCATCAGAAAAGAAAAGTTATCAAATTATAAAGTTGTTATCAATTTAGAACTTTCTTTTATGGTAACGTTGATTATCAACCCAAAGTTTCAGTGAAAATTACATACAGGGTGAAAAAGAAGTCCGGGGACGGATGGGTATGAAAAAAATGTATAGGCCTAAGGTAGAGTAACAAAGTTACTGAGCATAGAAATTCTTTTAACATATTATTCAGTGATACGCTACCTCTTCAGGGGCGTTTGAAGTTAGAAAACAATAACAAATCTGATATCATATGAGCATAGGTTGATATGCAAATCAAATTAAAGATCTTTATTTTTAAGGGATTTCCACTGAGCGACAGCGGCACCGGACTTACCAGGGTGGTCGGGGTTATTCCACCCCCCAGCAAAAAAGGGGGTACAGGGGTTCTTCCCCGGAGAATTTTTGCATAAATTAAAGTGAAAATCAAACATTTCTACATATCTTTTAATACATTTTCCGATTATATTTGCTTGTGAATAGTCCATATAATCTCACTTAATTACGTACCGGTATTCTATAACGTTGTAACAGCCCAAGGCGCTCCCTTCACAACCTCTTGGGTCAAAATCAAACATGTTAATCACTCGTTTACTCAACAGAAGCTGAGAATACTCTAAAATAGTTACACAATGTTGTTTTTTGAAAACTTTTATAATTCTGATACAATTAAAATGTGAATCATTAAATAAACATGCCAGCACCAACCACAGCCGATATGACGCCCAGTTATCATATTATTTTATGACCTGAAATGCCACTATCCCAAACTTAAACGAACAACCCAGTTAAAATTGGCAGCTGTTCAAGAATGTCTTGAATTTAATAATCTTTTCAATAATAACATGGTGTAATAATTGCCAATTTTAAGAAATATTTTGTGAAATGTGCTTGAAAAAAAAGAGAAATTATAAATTAAACGTCAGTGTTCTCAATATAATTAAAACTTAACACTTACCTCCACTTTTGTCTGAGTCACTGGGACTTTCTTCTTCAGACTCTGATATATATTTAGGAACTTTCTTCTTCTTCGCAGTTTTTCTTGTTGCTGAAATATCACAATCCAGGTCAGCCATTAGATGCAAATGCAATGAAATCATTATCAGTTTCACAAAGTAATAAATAATAAATACAAAAAAACTTAAAAGTTTTGTTAGTAGGATTTCTGAAGAAACCATAAATATAATCAATACACTTATTTAGGCCGATAAATCTGCCATAATGAGTAATATGAACCTTTACTTACAGGTATTTATGTGAGTACTCATCAAAAATGACTGAAAGAAAACTGTCTCCAGCAAGTGCTGCAGCATGGGGTCAATTTCTGAACTACTAAACTATGGTGTTGTTGGGTTTACCAGGGTTGTTAATTTGTAGACCATTAATCTCAATGGCTGAACTGTGTAAGTTTTCTCTTTTGGTCAAGAGACAGCATCATAAATCAAGAACTTGAATCCCGTTTTATAGTGACGGTTGTGTCTGGGTTTGTAAAAAATTGGTTTTACATGAATATTGACTAATGTGTTTATAAATGAGTTAAATTAACAGATAGGGATCATTTAACAAGGCTTTGTTCTGACACTCAGAAACACAGAAATACTAGGGAATTTGGAAAAAAACACTTTCTTTCAAGGTATTCCTTTACTGTAATTTAGATGCCGTTTGAGGACATGACGTGAAGAATCTATTTGGTATAGAAAACTATTTCCTACATCAATAAATTCTTGAAAGTTGCTTTAAGATTCAACCACGACACTGCTGATACAATACAATGGAACAAAAAAGAAAGACCCGGAAAAGCTTGGCAAATCTATAGGAAAGTAGCACAACAGCAGAAGACTTAAGACTGTGGAGGCAATAAGTTACAAAGGCCAAAAGCCAATAGTCTAGTCGGTAAGGTAAAGTAAGGTTGAAAACATATTTTGCATCATAGATAAATTACCTGGGGTCTTGGCAGGTGTTTTTCTAGGATTTCTACCAGGTGTTTTGGACGGAAGGTCACTCATAGTTTCGTCTGCATTGTGTATATGATCAGCTGATCCCTTCGTGATCACCTCATCAATTATGGCATTCAGCTCAGCCCCGATCTCCTAAAACATGTGACAAAGGAATTGGTGATATTTACAGGCGGATGACATTTTGAAGATAGCATTTAAAAAATTAGCACTGCATAATCTCTATTTGTAAGCAATTCCTGTAATTCTTAGGATTAATCCCAAAACTTGGATTCCATTTTGTATAGGACTGATTTAAGACTGATTGATTTGATGATAGGTTCTACATAACAACCATTTGAATATATTATTTTTTACTGTAACAAACTTGTAAATCATTCTCTTACAAAAAACAAACAAATATGAATAGCATTTGAAAAAAGAAACATAAAAAAACACACAAATAGAACTTGAATTAGTAATGCATTTTCAAATTTTTACCCTAGATTCACAGACTAAAAGTAGTCAGAGTGACACCTATTATAGCCATATGGCATTTTTCTTAATATTTACAATCAAAATAGGCTAGGTAATAAAAGGTAAATAAACATGCTCTTTTGCTAGCATAACTCTGAGTAGCATGCACAGCATTATAAATGTTTGAAATTCAATTTAATTTTTCAGATAGTTTCAAGTTACTGAATTAAGTTCAAATCACCCTACAGACTTTTTTTTGTGCTCAACATATGTTCTGTATTATACAGACTACAACATCCATATAGCTTTTAACTGAGTTCTCCAGTAGAGGCAAACTTTTATATATTGTGTATCTGTGTATGTTATAGACAGGTAGACCAACAGCTCGAGATGAGCTCCTAATGAATCACAGAACTAACACAAAGCTTAAAGTCATTGGGGATTGTTAGGATCCCAGGACTCTAGAACAGAAACCTTGTGCAATAACTACTATAATCAGCGGTGCCCCATCAACAGATCAATTTTACTCTGATAAAATTGTGTGGTTTAATGTATGGAAGAAAATTGATTAATGTTTCTAGCGTTTATTTTAGTTCGTTACACAAATATTTCAGTTTTCCATACAAACCTTCAATCCAGGTTTGGTAGATCTGGACACACTGGACACGATACTCATGAACAATGTTGCTACAGGCTGATACAACAGACGGTCACAGAAGCAAGTGGCATGGTCTATAACACATAGAATGTATGATGTTTCAAATTTGAAAAATGTACAAGCTTCCAAAAAAAAAAAAAAAAGATTTTAAAACTTGATTACCTAGCTTAAGACCTTTGAGTCCCTAAGCCAATGATATGGGTCACAGTAACAAAGGAAATTTCCACTTTTAACTATCAAAGCCAGTAAAACGCAACCAAAATGGCTGAATGGCTTGTCATGTGTTCCAGCCTGAAGTCAAGTTTAGAACTACTGTGGATTTTGGTTTTTTGTTGAATTAATTAAGGTGTTGTCTACCTAGACTGGACAGATCACACGATAGATAGAATTATTGTTGTGTACTATCAAGTATCAGCTGCTTGGAACTGTTTTCTTGAATTATAAAAACCCTGAAAAATCATAAATTAACAATCTTCAAAACAATTGAGGAGTTAGACAGGAGTTGACTCTACTCACCAATGAGCCTACGCAGACTTCTGTCACTCCAGGGCAGCAATGACAGACAGAATGCCAAGTCCTTCCACTGTCTCTCACATAGTGACTCCTTCATCCTTTTGCACAACTTCTCGACTAGGTTCTCAAGTTGCTTCTCCTTCTGGATTTGATCCATTATATACCTGTCAATGCAGTAATTTATAAATTTATAGTGGAAAAAAATCTGGATGTGATACGGTAAAACTTTGATTAACCAAAATGAAGAGAGCGAAGCTATTTCAGTTAAAATATTTCTTCGGTTAGTCGATGGTTGACTTTAAAAGGCTTTTTGGTTTACAGATCTACATCAACAGTGTTTATACTATTTTAATAATAGTAATTTTAAGATCTAAAACTGTATACACAAAATCTATTCCTCAAAATTATCTATGATTAATTGTTTTCAAAACTTTATCTTCATGGCCGCTAGAACAATGACTCAGGCCAAGCAAGGTCAACTACCAATGCCAGTGCGCAAAATTCCCATTGCCTACCTTATTTTCCAACTGATTACAACGGTTTCAGCTTGACAGGGTTTGGTTTACACAGTTTTACCATATGCTTTATTTTGTGCAGTATTATTTGCAGTGTTTTATTTTGGTAAAAAAATATATACACCATTTAACATTAAGTATGCAGTACAGGTCTGATGGGAGATAGCCGTGCTATTAATAAAACATTATGCATATTCACATTATCGTACAGGTTGCCTCACAACACTTGTGAAGGCTTAGGCTAAGTATATTTGACTTATTCCTATAACTGAATGCTCTTTTTAGAATGGTACTTGACCCAACAAATCATACTTTAATACTTTCTTATTAAATGGTGACCATACAAAGTAGGTATTTTAAGCCAAGTATGAATGGAGATGAGTGGCGCGATCTTGTAATCTTGTTAGTGACTAAGGCAGACATTCCTTATGTTAATTAATAGCTCATGCAGCTAATGGCAACTAAGGAACCTGCAGTTTATAGTGGAATCCAAACCACATTTTTGCTTTGGTACTGTATATACAAATTGGTCTAATTATCAGGATAGTCGTAGTACTCACTCATGTGGATGTTAATCCACACCAGGGAGTATTGCATCCACAGTGCATGCCTATAAATATCCACAATTCGTGACCTCCTAGTAGCTGGATTACAGGACAACGCCACCCGTCCCACAAGGAATATATTACAAAAAATTTTTTGTTAATACATTTAGTGTTTAGTTTCAGTACAGGAAGAAACTATGAAAATCTGTTTAACATTACTTACTTTAAAATCACTTCAAAGTCTTTCTCTTCTACGACAATATCAGAACTTGGGTTTGAGAGATGAGAAATAATGTCTGGCAGAACATTATATAGAGTATTTCCCTTTTGAGATAGTTCAGAGAAAAATCTTTTTGCGAGATCTGTAATAATATAGATTTTAATTGGTAAATTGTCATTACATTACATACAACAAGGGTTAAAAATTAAATTTCAACAACTTTACAATATCTACAAAAACTTGTATTAAACTAAAAGTATTTGGGTTCACTGCTTTGTGACAATAGTATCCAATTGGAACAGTTTGCATGGTTTAATTTATACAATTTACTCTATACATCTCACATTGTAATTATATAAAAAAGCGATGAGGAGTGTGATCTTACAGAGTGTGCCGTTGGGGGGTGGGAGGGAGGGGGGTGTAAATGTAAATATTGGGAATTATTGCAGTTTATCTGGCTAGTTAGCTTTGGTGCACAATACCAGACTAGGATCATTCACAAAGTGAGCCCTTTAAGACTTTTCCTAGTGGATTGCCTGGTGTGAGCAAAGCTAAAATTCAATGGCACAACACCGTGGATTATCTTTGTAAAGGAGGGACCTTTCTATTCTTTATTTTATTTTGAAATTAATGTACAAAAGTATATTTTATTGCAAATTTGTTCTACAATTTCATTTTTTTCACCGGCTGGCTAAAAAACTATACAAGATGTAGATATTGGAAAAATAAAACACTTACCAACAATTTCCTCGTTCTTATCAACGATGCACAGAGCCACCTCGGATATCTGACCTTTGACCTTGACCATTTCATTGGTCACCAGATGAGAGAGAACCACTAACGTGTTACGTCTGACTTTCCAAGAGTCATCCCTAAGCCTGTCAAGTAAGTGACAAAACTAATGAATAAGTACAATGTACAATGTACAATTATTGAATAAAGATAGTGAAATGAAATGAAAAATGAAATGACCCGGGTTTCAGTTTAATGGGGTGTGGTTAAAAAGGGTTATGCTGTTTATATATTCTTTCATTCTTAATGTATATTTAAGATTAAATCATCTTTAAGTAGTTTTTGTGCAAAATGAATCACTGCTCTATAAAAATATAGATCTTGAAACCAGTTACAGAAGATTCGCAATTAGCCACAAGTGGATTTAACATGCTGTAAACTAAACCACAATAAAATAAATCTATATAGGCTAATGCAAGTTAATGAATGCACGTTATACAACAACAAACAAGACGTTTGGCATGAGGAGGCCCATCATGTCGTAGGTAGACTATAGATTTTCCTTTGTTTACTTCACTTACCACTGATGACTCACCGACTACAAGTACAACCCATGAGTTGGTAAGTTAATTTTTTTTATGTGTTTAAATTTTTGTAATTACTACATACATTTTAAGACTATTATGTACAAGGATAGGGATCAGCTAGCTTACCTAGATAGAGTCCGGATTAGCCTTGATTACACATAACACACATGACACAACACAGAAAAACTTAATATTTCGTCCCAGTTAGGGACTTCATCAGAAGGGAGAAGAATGAAAACTGGCAGTTACAGTTCAAATTCAAAAGTTCCACAACAGTGTTGCCAACTGTTGTTTTAAACTGTGTGTTTTTTTGTGCCAGTTTTCTTTCTTCTCCCTTCTGATGAAGTCCCTAACTGGGATGAAATATTAAGTTTTTCTGTGTTGTGTCATGTGTGTTATGTGTAATCAAGGCTAATCCGGACTCTATCTACCAGGTAAGCTAGCTGATCCCTATCCTTGTACATAATAATCCTAATCAGCCAATTATTGGCCTTTCCTTAACTCCTCACATACATTTTAAGTCAATGTTAGTTTTTCTACGGGCATTTTAGGTTAGGTTTGCATTGTCCACGACTTTGACACAACCCTTCTGAGGAGTCTACTGTACATTCAAATACTGATATTAAAAGTGTCAAAATTGTGTGCTGATTATCTTACCTGGCATATAAAAACCGGGTCCAAGGTTCAACCACATTGGGGAACTTAAACAGAAGATCTCCAAATGATATTACCAAGGAAAGACGTACACTCTCCTCAGAACTCCTGTCCAACATTGTGACCAACAACTGAAACAATAAATAACATATTTTAATAAATTCAACCCAACAATTCTAAAATTCATTGGTAACATGCAGTATTTGAGCCCGTGTCCCCAGGACGGAAGAACATCAACCTATAGACCGGCTGCAATTACATGAATATAAGATCAAATTGTAACATTTATTTATGGGCCAATAGCTATTTCCAATTTATGACCGAATTTTGACAGTAAAGGTTTGAGTTTGAGTAAAACTTTTCCAAACTTTTAGTTGTTTTGAGATTTTATATGCTGTATTGACACATGATTACGTGGCACAAAATCTGTCACTCAACAGCTTAGTAATGAACCAATTTATACGTTTGAGACATCAGAAGGTCCTATTTTGAAGCAATTGTTTCAAAATTCTGTTACTTTTACTTTACCCAGAAGAGCATTAGCTGAGCTGAAAGTTTAAAGACTAGTGCTGCAAACCAGCGAGAAAGGCCGGTATTGTCCTGTGCAGCTGGCTGTGGCTATCCAGTAATTGTATACGAGATGTTTCTACTTGCAGTATCCAAAGTCAATGATCACACTCACCTGCATGTTGTCATTGCAGAATACAGAAGACACCATCATAACCTGGGTAAGGGCTGATGAAGCCACACATTTGAGGAACGGGTTGTTATATCTCCTCGGGTTCTTGCAGACTTCCAGTATAAGGTTACTGAAACAAGTTATACCTTAGAAAACAACAAAAAATTTAGAAATTAAAAGGACAAGTTTGATAATTTTTATTATAAAAACACCATTGAACATTAAGGGGAATGTTATGGAAGGTTAAATTGTAATGAAATATTAGTTTACAACTACACAAAGTAAAAACATTAAATGAACACAGATTCCAAAATGTAAAAATAAGAAGGTAAAACAGCAAAAGATTTTTCCCTCCGGATTTCCTTTTTTGTAGCTTTTAACAGCAGCTTAAAACGACTTAAAGATGATAGAAGATAGGGGATTGTCTGGAAGACCTGGAAAAATATGGATGGATAAGTATGGAGAAGAGAAGAGTGAGACGGTAGATGATAGATGACTCCCAGATTCGGGATAACCGGAAAGGATGCATTTATGCATACTCTTATTGCAGAGCTCGGAGTTCCAGTTAAAACAAAGTCTTACTTAATCATAAACACACCTGAAGCCAGCGATGACACCGTCACCATTGACTATCTGAGAGTCCAACAAACTGCGCACCTCCTCAACAGCCAAATCATCTGCAGCAGCCATCAAATCTGCTTCTGTGATCACCTCCTCCTCTCCCTAGAAAGGCAATAAATAGTTAATAATTTATTTTCGCATAACATTTTCGCACTATGTCAGAATATTTTTAGGTAAAAACCAGAGTGAAGCAAGGTGATGGATTATCCCTAATTTTATTTAATATTGCTTTAGAAGACGTTCTTCAAACAGTCAGACATACAAATAAAGTATTAAGGATAGGAACTAATTTAAATACTCTCCTTTTCGCAGACGATGTAGCAATTTTATTTGAGAAGAAATATGACCTAAATGATCTAACACAACTATTTATTCAAGAAACTAGTAAAATGGGTTTAAAAATTAATTACAAAAAACTAAGTATATCCATTTTTCAAAACAAGAACCAAACAAATGAAATCAACATTGAAGGACACAGTTTTAATATCAAGCAAGAACAGTGAAGAATCATAAATAAACAATAGAATAAATCAGGCTAATAAAATTATGTATATATGCAACAAAATCCTAACCTCAAAAACTTTATCACGTCAAATCAAAATTAAAGCCTACCATACAATTATCCAACCAGTATTACTATATGGAGTCGAAACATGGATATTTGATAAAAAAGAAGAGAGAAAACTTATGATTTTTAAAAATAAATATTAAGAAAAATATTTGGTCCTGTGAATTATAATGGAGAGTGGAGAATTAGGCATAATAAAGAAATGAAGAAACGGACATGTCTTGAGAAGGGATATAGGAACACTATTGAAGGAAGTAGGAGAAGAAGGAAGTAGTCTTGCCCCTTCCTCCCACCCAACGATTGTTTACTTCAATCATAGTGATTTATGGAACTGCTGATAACAATTTGGTATTGGGGAGTCCATCTTTATTAAAGAAGCACATAAACTAAAATTATAAACTATAAAATATATTGTTGTGTCCTATAATAATCAAAAACACAAAAGAAATACATCAATATATGTCCAAAGTCAATAAATTGTTTAAGTGGGATTTTACCGGTCTCAGGAGACGGGCACCGGTCCGTGGGAACGGCAGGCGAAACACACACTATAGGTTATGTAACGCTAGCAACACACACGCAATAACTCCGGTCCTTTCCACAAGGCTGCGCTACACTGAGTGATTCATTTCAGCGGGACCTGGCCGGGCACAGGTGACCGGGTGGGCCTGGCTGCACGTTCGGCGGTCAGTCCTCGGTGACCGTCTCACACTCAACAAGTTAAGAACTTCTTAACTTACCTTATTTTGTTTAGTTTTTGTAGAATTCGCTGAAGATTCTCGACCACTATTCTTAGATGGTGACAAAGTCTTGAACTTATCTCTCATTTTCTTTTTTAACCGTTCAAGATAGTAGTTTTCCAGGAAATGGGAATACCTAAAGGGAAGGAAAACAAAGTTAGTTAGAAAATTATAATAGAAACCAATTGCCTAGGAAGAATTTTTTTGAAAATGAATAGAGTTCATTTAGTTTCACATTACACTGATATTTCGTCCTGATGTAGGACTTCTCCTGAGAGAAGTTAAAAAGAAAGTTGGTTTGAAATAATTTTTGTAAAAAAAAAACTCTCATTCAGTTTACCAGGTTATTGCTGTCAAAAAAATGTTGATTGAAAAAAGCTGGCAAATGAAATACAGCCTAATTAAAGCACTGAGGTCGCATTTACATCATTAAAAAGGTTAGTTGTTAGTCTGCCTGATGGTTAGTGGTCTTGATTAATGTGTGGGTAATCAGTTTTGGTAAGGAACTCAAGAGTAGTAATCCTGTCAAAGTCGAAGTGGATAGGAGAGGAACACCTATAGTAAACTGTGGCTAGATCGGGTGGATACTAATGAGACAGACGAATTTATTGCGTATTTGATCAGGCGTTTTGCAACTTTTTGTGTAATGGAAGTGTTTTTGTGTCTTTTGTTTCTGGAAAATAAAAATAATGCCTAAGCTTTGCTGAACGCGCCCGGGAGAATTATACAAATCTTTTGACTATACTGTCAGTGTAATATTATAATGTTTTGTATATAGTGTACAGTATTATATTTCCTGTCTCAGTTTGCACTTTGTCCATTCAGGTAAGCCTGCTATCCTCATTAACACGTTCACTGCGGGCGTATCTGATTGGATACGGGCCGAGCTGTGTTCAGATGCTGCCGTAACCGATCGGATACGCTCGGCAATGCCTTCGTATATCTTCGTTTTTGCTCTAGCATCAGTCGAATGCGGACCTATACCACGTTAGCGTGTAGTGGGTGACTTGCTTTTGGTTGTGGTGTAGGTTGGTTGTAAAATTTCCCCATAAAATCCCCGTCTGGCAAACTTGTTGTCCCGTCTTTCTCCCTCCAATTGGCAATACAATGGGACCGGCTACGTTCCAATCAGTGCTGCTATCTGCGGGTGTTTAGCAAACTACATCGCTTCTTGTCATAAGCAGGACATCACCGAGCGTTATTCGCTATTCGTCATACCGAAATTCGAAAGCCAATCACCCGGCAATCGGGTTTGTTTGACGCTGCGGGCTGCGCCGCACTGGGGCTACGCCTGCCATTTGATGGACGGCAGCGAACGTGTTAAAAACCCCATAGAACCCAGGCTCTTGAGCTCTATGTTGCAGCCTATACCATAAAGTAAGTTAATCAGGTAAATACTTACTTAAATGCAATGTCACCAACTAAGACAAGGAAACGAAGGAGCAGGTTGAGCTGTACGGGTTTTCTCTCGGTTGGTTTTGCTCGTGTTTCTATTTTGGAAGTATTGATGTCTAACTTAGTCTCGTTGGGATTGGCCGCTGTGTCATTGAGAGAGGACACGTTAGATTCGTCTCCATTCACCATCTTTGTCCCATCAAGTGTTACATCCCCTAAAACAGAATGTTTACTGATTAAAATTACTTTGGAACAATAAACATTTTAAATTTAAGACTACAGATAACACTAACTAAGTAGGCATCCCATTTTCATATTAAAGTTAGTCTCATGGTCTTCAGTTCTTCTTCTCAGTTTTAAAATAAAACGGAACTCAGTTGAGCCAAAAATGACTTAATAATTGAGCCACCGAGTGTTTGGTGCTGTCCTTAACAGATTTTTTGTTACACTCCAATTTATTAACATGTGAACCTGTAAAGGCTTGTAAACTTAAAACCTTCATTAGGCTTGTATGGCTGAAACTTAATATAAGGAAAGCTATTAGTAATTTTTTACCCATCAACTAACTATTTCAGCATGGAAAGCACATATTCATCCTTCCTATTTTAACAACATATATTCAAAATACAACACACAAAGTAAAATTTAATTTATTTTATGAACACTTTATTCAAACACATAGAGAAAGGTTTTACTTATAGCTAATATTGCTTGTTTCAAAAGTGCTAAGCCATGTTTTAGATTTGTTATATCTTGGATTTTTTTACTAGAACAAATACTGCAGTACTATGAATATAATAAAAGTTAAGAAAGACATCAAATATACCTCCTTGTTCTGAAGAAGTTGAAATCATAACTTCAAACAGATCAAACAAAAGGTCTCCACAGATGTCAATAGGGTCTATGCATAGCTGAAAAAAAGACATTCACAGATTTACACCAACAAAAAACCTGTTTTCAGGAACAAAGTAAAGTTTTGTAGTGAGTAAAAGTGTTCAGCAAAATGTGTGGCTTAAACCAATATTCACTCCATCCTTCGTATCATGAAGCGAAGATGGCAACATTATATTTTTATTTACTTCTGATGGTTCAGGAACAGTTGTGAGGGCCTCAGGTTTCCGTCACGTCAACCGAAGCTTATTAAAAATTTAGGAAGTTCGATTAAATTTGGATGACTCAGTAAGAGAGTACTTAACTAAAAATTCCTACTGTAAGCTATATGAACAACAGATTTTTGTATAAAAAAAACAACAAATATTTGCTGTTGTATCCAACTAACTAGTAAACGGAATATTTAACACGGAATAAGAATATGTTGTTGCTAAACAGGTAAAGATTGAAATTATATTTTGAAAAACTTACATTTGCTTATAAAAATGTAAAATACATCCCTAGAAAAAATTATGAATTTAAAATTCTTATCAACTAAAAGCAAAACTAAAAGATTTTATGGGCTTTTATTCCGGAGAAGAGTTTTTCCACCTCGCTAAAGATTAGTAGATGTATTTTTAGGAATAATTGATCTTCCTATCAATATAATATATCTAATGACTTACCTCCATAATAACACTGATAGCTTCTCTAGCATAACGAATAAACATCTCACATCCGTCTAGTTTGGTAAAGCTTGATTTTACGATGTTGGCCAACAATGGGAACATTTCATAATCAACAGGAAACCTAAAATTGATAAAAACTTTGATGAAACTTCATAAGCTAAGTGTTTTCTGTGGATATAGATTAACCCTATTTTTTTTGTAATTCACATATTTATTTGGATCAGATAAAAACAATTTCAACAAGGTTTGTGTCTGTCAGGTGAGTGTAGGGCACATTTTAATGCAGACTATTTGTTTTATTCACCAACTTAAAAAAACTATTGGAGTCCATCCTGACAAATTGAACATAAACATGTTAAAAAAAAAATACAACGATTAGCATTTAACTGTCAGTGACAACATTTTCAGCCATGGAAAGCTTGATTTGGAAAGATGTTTTCATATTCACAGGTGGCTAGGGATTTCATCTTCAGTTGATCTGAAGACATACTTCTCCAACTCAAACCTTCCTTTGCTGCAAATGTTTTCAGTACCAGTCAAATAGTCCTATCAGATTTTTATGATTATGTGCCTCGATGGACCTTATCTATGTAGGAAAGCCTCTTACCCATTCAGAAATTCTTATGTCCAAGTGCCTTATTTTACACTGTTACAACACAGTTTTGTAAAGTCAAGTCATATCACAACTATTTATCAGACTCAGCTGATTGTAGATTACTAGGACAGAAAAGGGTAACTTTCACTTTACCGCTTGTAGGCAATTTGTGAAGAAATCGTGGCAATTCAAAATGAAGTGATTAATATAACTCATTTTAGCTCTAGCAGTAAACCTTAATATCACCCACCTGATTGGTTCTTTGTTAGCGTCCCTACACTTGACAATGTTGGAGATCACCTCACAAGTGAACACTGCCAAGTGAATGTCAGATGGATCTGCACAGTCTATGTTCAGGCCTTGGGCAATCAGCAGTCCCAAGTTATCCTTTGCCATGTCTGGATTTCCCCTGAACAAGTTAAAGAATTCAGTTTACAAAGTTTGAAAATGTATTTGTTTGCTTTAAAATTGTACTGCTTTCGAATTCTTAGATTTGCTGCAACAAAGAACAAAAACTATTCTTGATCTAATTAAACTCTTAAAGCCTTTATAAAATTAAAGATGAAGTAAATTACCAAAGTTTATTAGTCCATGTTCATACGCAAGCAATCTACAGGATATAAATTATCCATCCCAAAGGTAACTTGGAAGACAATTGACTATGTTAGGCACTTAGATTATTACAGTTAACAATTTAGGCATGGAATAAAATGTAACATCCAAAATTATATCTGTGTCAAAGCCAAAATTAAATGGTCAAAAAATATATCTCTTTTGGATAAAAAGTAAAACTAAATAACTATAAATGGAATTAAAAGAGAATCAGAGAATAAGAGGAAACTACAAAGAACGTTGAAGGATTGAGTAAAGAGGGATATGGAAAGGAGAGAAGAGCTAGAAGTGGAGAGAATTGAGAGGCCTGCACAACTAGACTCTGAAATAACCTGTAGGAGGATATGTACAAAATAATGTTGGCAATAGGTATTTTTAGCTTCTGTATACCTCCTTTAAAAAGAATACGGCAACAGCTACCTCCCTATGGGAAAATTTACTAATACAACAAAACTTACTTTGTCACCATACTCAAAAGTACAAGTGCTGTCTGCTTTTTAGCCTTGGAAATGTTCTGAGATTTTACCCGATCCCATAGGACCTGAAAATTAAAAATGCATGAATTAATTTACACCTTTTACTTTTATTCTATGATATTGTTCATATGCCTATATCATTTTTTAAACCCCTAATTATCGGGCGGAATCTATCAAAATCTATCGGGCTTTCCGTCGGTGAGTGTTTTAACATGGGTTCAAATGGGACCCTTTTATGCACGACGGAATCTCCGTCACGTTTCAGTGTTCCGCCGAGTTTCGGCGTTTTGTCGGAGTGTGTTTTACATAGGTTCAAATGGAACCCTTTTATGCAACTGCGTTTTCCGTCAGGCGGAATGTAGTGCTGCTAACCTACCCCACGCTCTGTAATCCACAGTATTGAAATCGCCTAATCATTGTAAATAGATTATCATTATCCATTGTAATTGGTTGAAGAGTACAAATAGAGATATAATTGGAAAAAATGTACTGGGCGAAAATTATTTTTTTATTTTTTAATCCGCGGAATAATACAGCCTTACTGTTTTGTAGGAATAATAAAACTATTGTATTCCAGGGACTGACATGGGGATTTTTGTATCAAAGGTATCACCCGGGATTGATATGGGAATTTTTGTACAAAAGGCTAGCCCTACGAATTTCATTCACCAGGTGTACAGCCCACAACTCCTTCGCCGACGTCTATTTTTCTTTACGCACAAATAGGTATAAACCAATAAACAAAAATCCATCTTGTGTCACTGTCACTGATGATGGCCAAATTAACAAAGTTGGCAGCACTGACAACCCCCACCATGGGCATCATAAAAAATAGCGGATTCCGCTCGGCGGAGAAACTGCATAAAAGGGACATCGATTCCGCCCGACCGAAAACGTTGTGCATAAAAGAGGCCTTAGGGTAGGATTGAACATTGAGCAAAAAATCAAAATAACTCTGTCACAACATAATTGAACTTAGAGAACAACCCTACCTGAATAATTTATCAGAACATTAAACAAAACATATAAAGTCTATAAATAATTTCATTTCCTTTATACCTTTTTCATCACTTTTCTTAAAAAAATTGGGGATGAAGGGGATTTTTTCTTTTATATTAAATATGAATATGTTCATTGGTCGTTATTACAATTAATCACACTGAAATGAATCCATGTTGCAGTGACTTATGTATTCCATGAGCGTATTGGATTTAGTATGCAGGATTTTAGAGCTAGTTGAACACTGCTTATGTTACTGTGATTCCAATGAGAAAATGTGTCACAATATTACGATAGACAAATCCTAATGCAAATCTAAATCTATAGATTTCAAGTATAGACATGAAATCTATACATTTCATGCCTATACTTGAAATTTATAGGCATGTTCAAGGGTTTGTAATATAATTATTGATACGTTGCCAATAATACAGATTAGAATAGAAATGCCTTTATTTAAAATATTTACTCAGTTAAAACACTATTTTCCAGGACAATTCTTCAAAAAGTAGATGAATAATATTAGCAAAATGTCTCATAAATCTATTATTTCACAAGTAATCATTCACAAGGATAAGTTTACTTTTGTGATACATTTCTTATGTAGCTATACCACATCACATCGCTCTCACACATCGCGCTTAAAACATCGGCTCTTCACATCGTACTCTTAATCATCATAGGTAGGCCTAAGCTAAATTAAAATTAACCCTAAAAAACATAGTTTTTAATAACTTATGAAATATATTACATTGATAAATTCACTATCCAAATTGTTGTTTTTGATCCAGCTGTTTATAAAATGGGAAAGCGCTTCTATTTGTCCGTAATCCAGTGAGCTCGCCAGCTTGCTCAGCCGAGAAACTTCCTGAAACAAACATGACAGCACTTTGAAAACGTATAAATGGATCAATAAACAGTAGGCTTGTACATTAGCATTGAACTGTTGTAACGGAAACAGTAGACAAATTAATTTTCAAATTAATGTAATTGAAGTGTCTTGTCTCACAATCTGATCTTTTTGCGTTCCCACGATCTTTTTGATCCAATTAGTAAGGGGTTAGCTTTTATATTAATCAAGGCATTCAACAAATAGAACATTCTAGGAAAAAATCATTTTGATCCTTGGTTTTGCAATCATTGGTTTGTAGGATAGAATTACAAAAAGAATTCAAGAAAGTTTATGACACTTTCAAACAGATATAAGTTTGCCTTATCAACTCAGAATAATCTATGGGGGTCACACATTAAAGGAACAATCAACACGTTTAGTCCATTCATTATTGCCTCCAGGATTCATATTTGACAAAATACAGGGCACGAAATGCCGGGGAATGCGGGGGAACTGAGTTGCGGTACCTCTCTTTCGGAAAGATAAAAATATTGGCACAAATCACATTAAATAGGTTACAGTTCTGGCACCTCATTTACAAATCGAGCACTGACAATATATTCTACTGACAAGGTTTACATACCTTGTGTCACCAAGCAGGGTACGGCTAAATTAGGATCGACAACATTAGTGATGTAAACCTCCTACACGTTTATTTTATCGGTCTATGGATGATTTTTGTGAGAGAAGCCGACCTAGATAAACAATGGACGGCTTAAAACACAACCCGTGGAACCAACACGTGGAAAGTGTTAGATTCTTTGTTAGTTTCTTCTCTGATCAGGCGTACTACTTTTTTCATCCTTATGTGTGTGTGTCCACCAAAAACTATTTCTACATTGTCCACCAATAACATGAAATATTAGCATAATATTAATAGAATCAATTAATAATTTCTGAGGTCTTTGTAAGGTTGTGTTGTTTTACTGTTTTACATTTTTACTGTTTTACATAAATGTTTTCAACAGTACAAAATTGTTTTCTAACTTCACTAGCAAGAACAAACATAAATAACATTGTACGTTACACTCACCTCAATCGCTTTTTCTCTTTTAGAATTTTTATCGGGAACATCGAGGTACAAATCACAGTAAGCTTTGTTAACAGCTTCGATAATCTGTGGTTCCTTCCTGAATACAAGTCTTATCATCTCTTGTACACCTTTTTCAGCACTCGGTAGACCAAACTGATAAGATACTGTGATGAAGTTAATGGCTTCCAAAACTTCAGCGATTGATTCTTCATTTAAAATTTTTATGATGGAGTCCATTCCTTCTTCAATCTTCTTGGAAAACTCCAAACAGTCCTAAATAGAACGAGTAATGTTATATAAATAGTCCTAAAAGAGTTTTTGATGACACCTTCAATTTAGAATGTACTTACGTCTACGAAATATGATACAATATTAACACTGTCCATTTACTGGGGAGACTTGGAGAACTAGAAGGCAAGCACACACATACACACACACTCAGACTGGCCTAGCTGTGTTTGCTGGGCAGTTGGTGACTCACATACTAGCCTTACTTCTTCAAAATTATTCAATTTTTAAATACTAATTTTTCAATATTAAATTTTGGCTGATTTTCTTAACTCAGTAAGCTATTTTTTGAGAAAGGGTCTGAATACAACCTTTTAATGTGTTAATGTGGCTCTAAGTATTACAACCATTCAAGCAAAAAAGAATTTAGGATTGTACAGTAGTGTCTCGCAAACTCGGCACTCGATAACCCGGCGGTCTGGATAACTCGGCCATCACCTGGCTCAGAAAAGTAGTGATTTTTTTGAGTCCAAGTTAAACATGGACTTAAGCCAGCTCAAGTGAAATCATTCACAACTCGTACCAAGGATTGGTTGTACTATATCTGATGACTTTATACTGACTTTTAATATAAATATAAATAAAAAAAGGCAGTTAAAAAGCTTAAAAGTTGTATTGTGCTTATTTTTAACCCTAGTTCCCGATAACCCGGCTTTTCACAAACTCGGCACCCTTCCAGTCCACATTAGGCCGAGTTTGCGGGACTCTACTGTATTCAATACTTTGATTCACAATTTTTTCATGAAATAACACACTGAGTCCAAAAATTGTATATTAGTCTTATAATGCGTGGCCACTCAAATGGCTTGCGACCGCGACTGCAGCTGCTCAGTCGCTTGGGGTGGCCACAGGTGTGGCTAGTAGTAGCAGCAAGATAAATAAAGACAATTTAAAATAACAATTTGCTTTGAGAATGAGAATTTGAATCTTTCAAATTGTCTCAAGTAAGGACATTTACTACATTAAGAATTGTTAAGTAAGTTAATATAAGTAAAAGAATCAAGCTACCATAAGGTATGTGACCACATTCTTTTGCACTCTGAGATCTTCCTCGGCTTTTGCAGCGAGCACTTCACTGCTCTCCGAGTCCTCCTGACTGTTATCCTCCGTTTGTGGTCTAGCCACCTCCGGAGGGTTGTACATCATGAAGATCTCTCTCATCAGTGTGAGATAATACTCCAGCGTGTTATTAGCAGGCATGTCAGATCTGAAACAACAACAAACATCTTAGATGATTTAGGGCACAGCAGCACCTGATACAAAAAATTGTGATTAATTAATTTAGTTACATTTTAAATTTAAATTAGGTTAAATAAAAGAATACCACAGGTACTACTTTATACTCTAACTCGTGTTAACGATGAGCACAAATTTAAGAATTTTATAACCAATGACTTGGATACTGCTGGAGTGCTGGTAAACTTCTCATTTTATTGTAAAATTGGAAACCAGTTTTGATGGGTGTTTCAGGACCGGTTACGTTTAAGAATGCTGAAGAATACTAAATATAAATGATATTCCAGAGTAAACTTTTACCTTATGTACTACCATAGACAAAAAGAATTAAATATAGACCGTCAGCTGTGGCGCACACCGCTTGGAGCGCCATGTAGTTACGGCCTACGTACGCGCTACGTAACTACACGGCGCTCCCAGCACTGTGCGCCAGAACCTATGGTAACCATGGTAACCAAAGCACAGCTGACAATCTATATATATTTAATTCTTTTTGTCTATGGTACTACATTCTTAGATTACAATACCTTAGGACGAAACTAAAGATCACAAATAGATTAATTTATTAAGTTTGAAAATAGTTTTAAATTTAAATAACAATAATTTAATAATAGTCAAATGAAAACACCCTTTGAATACCTGGCAGAAACGTTAAAATTAAAACTGTCCTCAGCTGATCCATAAGGATTGGGTAAAAGGGAGTTTTAAAATCTATGCCCTAAGATATGCTTACTTAAGATCTTTAACACTGGGGAAAGCCTGTTCAGTTATCTTGACCAAGTTGAAAGCAGGTTGAAACTTGCGGTTGGAGACCAGGATGGCGATGGTCCTGAGGTTTTCTTGAAGTGTGTCTCTGGTCAACAACTGGGTCAGCTCGCTCTCTTCTGCAGCCTCCGTGTCAGCTGTAAATCACAAATACCACTGAACAACCTCACTTTGCCACTCCTGTCCGGAACTGTTTTACACATGACTTCAGGCTAGAACTAGAGGATCGCAGCATTGCGACTTACATCAAATCTATTGGTGATTGGCAAAATTTGAACCATGAACTTTTCAGACTGCAGTCACAGGCTCTACCACTAGACCAGCTTACCCAAATGATCACCTTACAATTGTCTCTTAACCATTCACCAGTTTATACGCCAGTTGCATTTTGTATGAAAGAATTGCTTCTTATTTTTTTTAACAAAAAATTAACAAAAATATAATTTCTAAATTACAAAACAAGTTTACAAAACAATAAACTTGATATTTTGCTCCTATACAGAAGATATGTAACTTTTTCAGAAGAAAGAAGTTTTTGTGTATCAATTCCATTTTCCTAATATATTCTAAAGCCAAGTGTTTTTCCTCCAAAAAACTAAATTACTGGTACAAAACAATAACTTTTAACTTACAAAAGCATGAATAGTGGGCCAGAAATTTTACACACATTTATCTCATAATCTTACCAAAGTTGATGACTGAAGAGAGGAACACGATTATCTCTGGTTGGATTGTGTCCCAGATATTCTCACTAGTCATATCTTTGAAAGAGCCGATCTTTCTCTCTAAAGACTGCAGGCTCTCTTCAGCCATAATCAGCTGACTGATCAGCTGCTGCATATCAAGCTATACAAACACAATCAACAATGATTTCTAGTATATCTTGTGTGACATAAGCATACAAGTAACCGAATACAAAATAAATAAATAAAACAGAAATAACAAATATAACATTGCAGTAGTACAGTAGACTTTAAATAATCCGACTCTTGATAGCCTGAGATATTCAGTAATTCAAGTAGGGGTCTGCGGCACAGAAAATTTAAGGTCGGTACGGTACAATATTTTGTACCTCGGTTCTCGGTACGGTACGCGGCTATCCGTATTTTTGCGGTTTTCTGCTCAGAACTGTATTCAAACCATTATTTTTAACTTTAATACATTGACATTACTATGAAAATGGATAGTATCCTACATTCATGGTTTTCTAACAACACTGTACCACACATTATTAAAACAAAACCTTTTACTACTATGAGGATTGTGTCAAGAAAAATCACAGTTAAGACAAAGGCTTTACCTATTTTACTCTGAGATACTGTGAATAGCCATGATAAAAGTGGTTTTAAAAATTGGATAAGAGTTTTTAGGAATAAACATGTTTGAAACATTAATTTCACACAGTTGGTAAATTATTTCCAACCAACACAATGTCTAGTTGTTTTTTAGATTTTTAAAAACATATAAAAGCATTCAGTACAAAGAGAGTGTAGTTGTCAGCTGTTCACAGCAGACGACAATGAACAACTGGAGGATATGATGAAGTATTGGCAAACAGCATCTTTTTTTATCAGCTTCAAAACTAGTTATAAGATGGATACAACTCTTGCAAAGTTTTTTTCTGAGACTAAAATTTAGATTATCACGGAGTAAGATTATTGTCTTTTCATTTACAAAGTTAACATCCACAATATCAATCATTAGTTTATCTCAGGCTCAATCCAATTTTCGTAGTATATTTTAAAGCTCTTCCAAAGAATCAAAAGACCCAGGCCCAGACCTAATTATTTAGGAGGGCCTATATATAAATTGATTAGGTTACAATGAGGGTAGCAAAATCACTATCTAGTTAGTTCATAATATTTAGAGTACCTTCAACACATTAAAAAATACAGGAAACTAAAAAACATTTAAGCCTTAAACAGCCACATCTAACAATATAAGACAAGGTACAGAACATGCAATGACATAATTTGAGACCGAGTAGGCTTGAATAACAAAAAAAAATTATGCAAACATCAACAACTATGCTTGTGGTTTCATCAATAGAAAGATAAAATATCCATAACAAATATTTTAACATATAAAATAAGATTGTAGATTAGATACAAGTTTAATATGTAGCCATAAACAGTTTTATGGCAGTAGGCAATGGCCAGCGGCAAATTGAATATTCACGAAAATACTGACTGAGTTAGAGATAACACTTAACAGTCATCATAAAACTATTATTTTTATGATAAAATAGAATTGGGGGAAGTCGTAAAGAAATAAAAAGTGATAAAACTCAACAGTTCTTGGAAGTACTTGAATACAACAATTATTGTCATGATAAAATGTTAATGGATTTGGGACTGCTAATGGGTTTTTTATTGCATCATCACCCTAGTAATAAATTATGAAGATCCTAAACATACATCTGATAAGACTTTTATGTGCTTGGAACCAACTGTCTTTGTTGACTACTAGTAAACTGAAAGTAATTTATTATTATAATAGGCTGTACCGAACCGAATTTGTACCAATGCTGTACCGAACTTGTACCAATGCTGTACCGAACCGATGACGGTAATTAAGCTTGTGTACCGACTTTTTCGGTGCACCGCAGACCCCTAAATTCAACACATTGATTCATGAGTTATTTTTGCGATACCTGTACAATATTATGTTGCTGATATATTATGATGTTAATAAACAAATTGAATATTGAAACTTTATTTCAGTTTTGATAAGTCTCGTGTCTATCCATTCTCAATGTCCTGCTCGGTTCCATGGTTCCTACAATGAATAAACTGTGGTTATTTGGTAGAATAAATATTTTACTAATTCCTGATCTTTAGTGATTGAATTTATTATGGTTTTCATTTAACTTTACTTTTTAACCTAAGCAATATAGGTCTCACTGAATTTAGAATACGTTGTACTTAATAAGGATTGTGTAATAAGGCCTAGATACAACTGTACACTAGAGGTTATGAGCTAAATAGTTTTTTTTACCTAGTCAATAAATAGGTTACGCGTTTAATTGTCGAGGAATACATAATAAGGCTTCACAAGTACACTTTTCTTTGATTATAGGATCAATTTTGTAATATTTTTGATTTTCTACACCCTTCTGGTCCTATAGCCTAATTGGCAAGTTATCAAGAGTCAACTGTATTTTGAAAATTTTAAATTCAATCTATTTGAAAAAAAAATTAGGCCTACATATTATTGGTGAGTCCATAGTTGGCATGCCAGTTGTCAAACACACTAGTTATCCTCTCATTGGGAATTGAATGTTGTTACACTTGGGGGTTTGCATACTGTGTTGTCCATAACTACAAAATCATACTTGATCGTTTAGCAACGTTTAGATCTAAAGTGTGGAGTGGAGAGTCTATTATCCGAACAATTTGGGATTGGGGGTGTTCGGATAACTGATTTTTTTTCAGATAACTGGTTCATAAGCAGTACACATGAGATACAATATTTTAATTTTGATTCATAACATAAACACTTTTTTACACATTTACACACACAATTTAACTGATTTTAATTGTCGGCCTTTAATAGCGGCAACATCCATGAGCATTACCAGTGATCGTCTCTAGCAATGAAGAGCAGAGTAGGCTAATGTAATTTTAGCGACACCCGTGAGCATATATTGCGGTCTCGGTGACATTGGTGATCGTCTCTCACAATCGCATCAACACACCCATGTGCATATATTGCGGCCTTTTCTACACAAGTGATCGTCTCTCATGATTCCACGATTGTGGCAAAAACTGTGAGCATTAAGTATTTTGAGGTCTTGGTGACACTGGTAATTGGCCTTTAGGTTAACAAATCTCAAGGATAACCAGACTACGGGTGATATACACTATACCGTGGATTTGATCCAGTTTATCATTGTTATTTTCTGGAATAGAACTACTATAGTTCACTCTACCTAGTTTTTTTAAACATAATGTGGAATGTCAATGTGTGGTTTTGAAATACATTTATTCATTTTGTAACAAATTCTGATAATACTTCTTGTTTAAAACTTTTAAATTGGAAGTTGAAGGATTTTACATTAAGAAGGATTACGCTTTTGTCTCTGAAAGTGTTTAACACTAATACCGAAACCCTACCTAGGCTGACTTTAACCGAAACCCCCGGTCTGCGAGACCCCATTTGAAAAATAATGGACCCCGCTTAGACACACACAAATCAAAACCCTCAGCCTGTGAGACCCCGCTTTAAAATACACTAACGATAAGCTTCTGAGACGGGCATGTTATGAATAGACAACCTGTCAAGGTCACGGCACTCATGCAAAATGAACAAACAATATGTCAATAGGTAGGGGAGGAAAAGGGGGGAAGGTATTGGGGGAATGGAATCTCCCAAGTAAACAGTGTTGCCAACATGTGTTTTTGAAAATTCCCGTGGGCCTGTCAGACCGGGGTTTTGGTATTAGTGTTAAACCTATTTTAATTTTCCTTTAAGATAGTAAATTAAAAATATTATTAAGAAAAACTTACCTTTACTCCATACGGATTGTGTTCCAAAATCGACCTCAATAGAGATATTGCATTTTTGCAAACATTACTACTCTTGTCCATGACTCTCTCTATTGCCAAATCGACGACCAGGAGAAATTTCGATTTTGGAACTGCATTGTGCTGTACGATTTTCTGATAAAGCTGCAATACCTGGAAAATATATTAAAACCACTCCTTAAATTGAAGATCACTGCTTTAAACTATATAAATGGGTAGCTGTGTGGTGATAGTGCTTGCCTGGTAATCAAAAGGTAACTGGTTCGATCCTGAGAAAAGTTAGTAACTTTTTTATGGTTCTAAACTAAACCCTGCTGTCTTTGATCATTGGGCTTTTAATAAATGGTACTGGCAAATGAAACAGCTGATCTTGGTCAGTAACAAAGCTAAACAAGGCATCACACTCTATTCTACCAAGGCCCCACTAGAATAAACAAGCCATGCTGCAGCACGGGCAGCGCAACACTAGGGGTCACAGTGGTGGACAGTTGTACTTCTATTACCATTAAAATCGTACAAACAACCAGCTTGTTTATTTACCTAAAACATATGGGTATGGTGTTGGCAATGAATTTATCAATGAAATCTATCCACTAGTGTGACGTCATGGATCCTGCAGCATGGCCTATTTTTTCTAGTGGGCCTTGATTCTACTCATCCTTCACTCATATTTGGGTTAAAATACGTACCTAGGTGGCGTCCCCATCTCAATTGGTAAATATAATACAATAACCTGCATTTATTGTAGCATCTTCTTACAAACTAAATCACTGATTTAGTAGCACTTCTGGTAAATTATTTTGGAACTAAATAGCATATTTCAATCAATAAAAAACTCATAAGTACAGTTTGAAAATAATGTGAACTTACACTATATCTATAAGTATTTTTCCAATTTCACCAACTTACAATAAATAACATTAAAAATATTGTATACCACATAATGGGTGGCTTCTTGGATAGAAGTTATTGGTATGGGGATTCTTTGTAAGTTTGAATGGCAATTCTTTTTTTTTTACTTCACCTGTTTTGTGTTTTTGTGTGTTCTCGATAAAATTGCTTTGCATGAATTAGGATTGGTGGGCTCAATAAAGAGGAAAAATACGACGAAAACAGGCTAAACTAAATCAATGAACAATCTTAGAGGCTCAAACAGTTACTTAAGTTGTTTTCATAATGCAATTTCAGATTAGAATTAAGAAAAGATTAGAATAGTATTTTGCACCCAAGAATGAGGCAGAACCAGTCGACCACACTATTAGACTTATTTGTCAAGTCTATTGTGTTCGCTGCTGTACAGGTTTTATAAATGAAGAAAATACACGAATATGGTGGCATGAATGAATTTATTTTGATAAATTGATAAGGGTGTAGTTGAATGTAAAATATAAGTTCAAATCCAAAGATATTTTCAATTGTCTACTAAGATTATAACGAGGTTAAGGGTGTAACATAGTGCACAAGGGCCTAGATTTTTAGGATTTTTTGAGAGGATAGCAGGCTTACCTGAATGGGAAAGAGTCCAAACTGGCACAGGAAACACAAAACTTTACACTATATACACAAAACATTAGAATATTTCACTGTCACTGACAGCATTTTCAACTAAGGAAGAGAGAGTTTTCTAGATGTCCAAAATGGTGGCCAGTGAGTTGTTGAGTCAGTGTTGCCAATCGTATGAATTCAAAAAACACAGTTTCAGTTTATCTTATATGCACTATATATATATTAATTAAATTTGTAAGCCTGCTGGGTTGGATGTTGAAGTGGAGTGGGTTAGATGAAAGGTATCATCTTAGGTTTCGGTTTGGGGGTTGTCTAGACTTAGTAAACCATTAGTGTAAAGTTTTGCGTTTCCTGTGCCAGTTTGGACTCTTTCCCATTCAGGTAAGCCTGCTATCCTCTCAAAAAATCCTGATAAATTGATAAATTTGATTGATGAATTGATTTATATTATTCTTAATTTAAAAATATTTTACTGTAGAGCCAGAAGAATGACTGACAAGGCAACCCCAGCAAAACCTAAGACCTACTGGATAAGACTATTAGTGCAGTCGACTGGTCCTGCCTCACTGTAGGGTGCAACATAACTCAGGAACAGAATTAATGCAAACACACAGCTTACCCTGGACCTAACAAAAGCGTTGTTGTCCAGCGTGTGTTCCTCTAGCAGGTCAAGGTACAGGTCTCGTTGTTTCTTAGCTACCGAGTCCAGGGAGTCCTGAGACAGCTGTGTCAGTAGTATCTCCGTCATCACGGACAGCACACAGCATCTCATAGAGTATGGCTGTCACACACCAGTCATAATCATAAATCTTCAATAATCAATTTGTAAATGGTACAATGAACAGTGTCAATACAATTCTAATACAGTAGAACTTCTATCCAAACACCAACTATACGAATCACTTATAGAAAGAATTTTAAAATAACTATAACTTTGGCGTTTCTCATCTAAATTACTAAATTATATGAGGGAAGTGGAGCATTCTGGAATAAATGGCTTGGTTTTGTAGCCTACTATTTCAATAATTTATTGAACTTTTTTAAATTGGTTTCATTTGGTCTCATCTCTTATCTACAGACAGGCAGAAGCCCATGAGATAAGTTGTTATTTATATTGTAATGCTGCATTATTACTAGAAAAAATAATGGTCGATTTGATTTGCTATACTATTTGAATTGCATAACAAATTATTACCAGACATTTGGGCAAAATAGATATTCTTTATGATTTTAAAGTTAAATTAAAAAAAATAAAATTATATATAAATCTATTTGAACCTCTCTAAAAGCAAAATACTTGTGCATCCAACTGGATACACACTCTATGTGAATTTGTTAACATTGATGATGGTTGTATTTAGATAAATCATCAATTGTTGTTTCGATTTAGAAGTGGGAAGCAAAAATTTAAATAATATGTACAGTTAATTTTTATTTTTAATCCAACACAATCAGCTAGGATAATGAAAATGTATCCACCATGTACATGGATGATATGTTGTAAGTCTTTAACTGCTGTCTTACAAATGTGTTATTACTAAACTTAAACCTAAACAACTTACATCCTGTTCCAGATATTTTGTCAGTTCTTTAGTAGTAGGTATCATTATCTCCGGCTCTAACTCCGCTACTTCTACAAGAAAATTGGAGAAGGATCGAATGCTCGAGCCATCCTGTGTGTTTTCTGTCGTCGCCATCAGTTCTCTGACAATTTCATTCACTAATGATTTGAATCCCAGGTCTCGTACAAACATGACCACACCGTTTGCAAGAGGAGATACAACATGTTCGAAAAGTGTTAACAACTGAAAACAATCGCACAACTTTGACAAAAGGATATTTTATTATAACTCTTATCAATTACAAAGGTATTTTTCTTTGGTAGTTTCACTACGGCCTACTCAATAATTATGACTATAAACTTATTTCTCTTTTTAGATTATTTTGCTTCAACAATTTTTTATTACCTGCTCAAATGAGTTAAATTTCATGGTTTGCGTACTGATTTTGTCATACTAACGGTTTCATCCCACCACAAGAAATATCTATTCCAAATCCCAAAATGTCACAAAACTTGTATTTTATTAATCAGTCACGATAAACTTCCACAGTAATCCTTAGTTTTGCAATAGTTATAATTTTGTTTCAATAAAAACAAACATTTTGATGTTTGTGGTTTGCCACTCTACTAATACCAGGTAGAAACATTTACCATAGGCATAAATTGCCTTAGGCTGATCCATGAATATGAAAATTTTATAATTGAGTATTTTTCAAACTATAAGCTTAAGGTATAAGGTAGTCTATCACAGTCAAATCTTAATCTTAAGAGATGACCATGTCGTTGAATTGGCTGAAGTTTAGATGCAATGCAGCAATTCATCTACAGGGCAAGCAACAATTCAGGTGAATGAAAGATTGCTACAACACATTCAAAACCCGTTGTTTTGTCCATTTTTCGAGATGGTAAGTTAAGAGTTAACATTAATTAACAGATTATTGCAGATACGTTCCATTTTTATTGGTACAAAAAACGTTTTCACAACCTAATGTGATCTGGAATCTGATCTCGTCACCTATTTACCGAACCGTCGGACGACCTGTCTCGCTTGAGCCACTCTCTGCATTGTGATCTGATTATCTTTTGTACGTACTTGCAATGCATACTTACTTACTATCACACCACAACTGTTTTATGTTGCCGTAATGCTATAATGTTACTGTCTCATTGTTTCTTATAAGAAATCTCGTTCTTATTTGTATTTGAATAATGAACCATTCTGTTATTTACTGTTCTCACTGTTCTTTTATACTTTGATACTTTCTTACTCAAGGACTGGATCTAATCCCAGAATCCAAAACCTTGTGAAGTTCACCAAAATTATAATCGTTTTAAGATAAAGATTCAGCAGTTAAATGTTTAATCTATGATATTAAGCAGTGTTGTAGCTCACACCTGCACTATCTTGACAACACAGCTGAGGCCATGGCTGTATCGCTTGATGAGCATTCCTAGCAGCTGGAACAGAGTGTCCCGCAGAGGTTTAGCCTTGACATGTGCGATGGTCGGGTGTTCCAAGGCCTTATAGCAGCTGTTGGCACACATGCTGCAGACAAGTACAAACAATACAATCCAGTTTATTATGCACACAAAAAAATAATCTGTTAAATTAGTCACAGAAAAATAGCCCTACCACCAAAGAAACTAAGCCTGTACACCTATCAACATACTAATGAAATTACTGAAGAAATTAGAAAACTTGTATCAAAGGAGCAAAAGTATATAACTTCGTAATTAGTTAAAACAGCTAAGGGAAAAACATATGGGGTGTACATCCTCTCCCAAAAAGTGTTTGAATAACAGTCTCTATATCTTCTCCTCTGTAAAATGGCACTGGAGTACACGAGAATAAAAAATTAACAAAAAATAATTCTGCTAAGTATAGTAGTTCATTCAGACTTGGAACCATGGATACTCATTCACATTCCCCTGAATACAACCTCCTCCCCCCATACATAAGCACATAATTTACAGTGTAGTCGTTGACTTGTTGCAAAACCAAACAACTGGCTGGGCCCATAAAGCTGAGTCGTTAACATAGATGTGAACAATCTCTGACGATAACTTGGGGTCTGGAGATCCCCGATCCTATCGGGTCAAGACGGACTAGAAATTAGTCGGAGGGACCAATTCGGGCCAGAAATAATTTTTGGATCAAACTCCGGTCAAGTCGAGCCGAGCTGAGCTTTTGTTATGACGATCGTATGAAGCATACTGCAAAGATACACAATAAAAAATTACATTTCCCCACGATCGCGCGTGATGTTTTACTGCCATCATAGGAGATGATGATGATGTCCCTATGACCACTGGGGGTGTTCACTAGTTCGCCATGATCACAGAAGACATTCAAGATTTTGTCTTGACTGCTTAAGTTGTTTTTAGTGAATTTCCCTATAGGGAAGTAGCTATTACCGTAGTACTCATGGTAAGACCTGGACCCGGGACCGATTTAATTTTTCATTTTGAGGTCCCTAGAGGCCAAAAACACCATCCGTTCAAAATCATATATATATATATATATATATATATATATTTATTAATAATTAAAAACATTAAGTACCCTTTTAAATTCATTTTAATTAACAAACAACATGTTTCAACACTTAGGTCATAGTCATGTTTTTATACAAATACAATAACAAATTAATGAAAGGAATAAATATAGTCATATGTTAAGCTAACTTAAAATTTAGAGGATCTTGATCTATTCTTTGTTTAATTTTGCGTTTATTATATAATATTTCTGTTTTATTGCAACTAGCTGTTACCCACGGGCTCCACCCTGTTTTACAAATAATAACAGCTGAGGTATTTTTAACATTAGGTAAATGGAAAGTTCCCTTTGGATAGCAATTACGACCTTATAGGGCAATTTATGAAATAATGGATAATTTTGCGCAAGGTTTCTCGTCATGACGAACATTTTAAGTATATGGTTTATGGGGGGTGTGACTTGTAGTTTTCTCAAAAGTTCATGGGTACTTTTGGCTTTATATATAGATTGTAGGATTTTTTCAAATATCGGATTTGTTTTGTTGATGTTCATGGTATTCAGTAAATTTTTAGGAAATCTTTTGTAATTTGTGTATATATGAAAATCTTCTTTGACATTTAATTTTGTTTAATTTTCATTTATATTTTTGTATTCATGTCGAGTTTCGATTAGGTGCTCTGCAAAATTTTATTTCATTGTCGTTTTGTTACCTGATTTTAACGCTTGTACCTTGTACCTTGTACCTTGTACGCTTGGAACCTTTTTTTAAAGCTACTACTTGTTTTTTGGCCAATGTAGGATTTATTACAGTCTGAACATTTAATTTGATAATGCCTGATTTGTTTATATCTTTAACTTGGTTGTTATATGCTTCATTCGAAATTTTGTTTTTTATCATCTGAAACGCCTTTCAACAAAACAAATCCGATATTCGAAAAAATCCTACAATTGCAATAAAACAGAATTATTATATAATATACGCAAAATTAAACAAAGAATAGATCAAGATCCTCTAAATTTTAAGTTAGCTTAACATATGACTATATGTATTCCTTTCATTAATTAGTTATTGTATTTGTATAAAAACATGACTATGACCTAAGTGTTAAAACATGTCGTTTGTTAATTAAAATGAATTTAAAAGGGTACTTAATGTTTTTATATTGTTTTCAATTATTAATATAGTAGTAGCCCTAATCACAACCATTCTTATTATATATATTTATTAGGGATGGACGAGATTGGATTTTTAGTTCGAGACGAGACGAGACTTTTTATTTCTCATAAAATTTCGAGACGAGATCGAGACGGGATTTCCCTTCTCATACACAACGGGAAATGCACGTTCAAAATTTTTACCTGATTTTGTAACATTGTTAGATGACTGTTTAAATACAAAAGTAATGATAATAGGCAAGAATATTTACAATCTTTTATTAAAAAACATCAGCATAACATTTTTTTTATTAATCACGCTTAACTTATTAAAAATGCCTACGATTAGGAAACATAGTGATATCAGTTAGGATAGAGTTCAACTTATCCTAAAATAAAATAAATCATAAAATAAAAGCAATTATTAGTTTTTATAAAATAGTTACTTGTTTTGAATTTTTATAGTAATAAAACATTCCTCACACTGCGTACACTTAACAAAACTTCTCAAATGTTATTAAAGTAATGTTATTAAAATAATTATAATATTTACATTTAAAGAATTAATTAAATAAGAATGCCTTCGCAAAGGAAACGCAACTACAACACGCTCCTGTATTGCGGGTATTGCATTGACTTTCTGCAGGCGTTTAACATTTTTTTTTTTTTTTTTTTTATTCTCGTCTCGATAAAAATCTCGGCCAAAAAGAAATCTCGTCTCGTGTAACGAGATTTAAAATTTCCCGAAATTTCGAGACTTGACCATCCCTAATATTTATATATATATATATATATATATGTGTGTGTGTCCGTTAGTGCGATAACTTGAGCAAAAATGATCCCATTTTGATTAAATTTGGTACAAACGTGTAAACCTACGTTTATTCGAACGAGTTCGCGATCCAGCATAATTGGACCATGGGAACGGGGGTTTTTGGGGGGTTTTATGGGGTAAAAAGGGGTTTTCCAATTTTTAACCCTAAAAACAAAAAAATTTGCAATTTTTATACCGTTTTGTAGAGCTTAATAAAATAAATAATTTTGTTTATTGAAGCGCTGTTGTATGCCTAACTGTTACGGAGAAAATTCAAAAATAGTGTAATTTAAAATTCCCATGTTATTCTTATGGAGAATATGAAAATTGTTGTAGTTTACTTGTTTATGGATATATATTGATAAAATTTGGCAAATTTATTTATTTCTTCCTATACTATTGACGTATGGTCAAAAAACACCTTTATCTTCCCCGTAGCAGCAAACCTAAGCACTCGTTAAATCTAATGTTATTTAAATAGGGAAAAAATATGTCTTATTTATGGAAATATTTTAGTAAAAATGTAATCAGACAAGTTGAAATTCGCTTAGTCTGCAGGTTTGCTGCGGCGGGGGTATTATAATTTTGCCAAAACCTTGGAAGAGGTTCACAATTTTTCCTTTGCAGCAGAAAATTTTCACTATTTTGCCGTGACAGATTTTAAAATTTCATGATTTTGAAGTGACCACGTACGACGGTTTCACTATGAATGTGAAGATGTTCGCAATTTTGCTCACCGAAGAACATGTTCTTAATTTTGCCAGGGCCGTGGAAGATTTCCATGCAGTTTGTGGGAGATGCTAATGCAATGAACTCATAATTTTGGGATATTGATTATGAACCAGTCTACAACATGGTAAAAACTAGAGGTGGGCCGATACCAATACTCGATACCAAAATACTCTCTACTCGATACTTGCCTGTTTTGGGTTCGATACCGATACTGACACTGAACCACTGAATGCTACGAATCTTCAGTCAGAGCGCCGAGCGGGTAAATTGCCGTTGCCGTTACGAATCCTAGCTGTTTGCCTACTTAGTTAAATACACTCGCAACTCGAGTCGTGTAGTAGAGGTTAAGCCGATTTTGTTGATATTTGACAAGTAAATAATAAGAAAGGAAAATGTTTGAGTTTTTATTTAATCCCTTGACCCCTTTCAATATTGACATACTAGGCCTAATAATAATCGGCAACCTAGACATCGCTTGCGTCATCCATTTCACTGACAGCGACAGCTAACACTGGGTGATAGTGATAGGTAGTGGTGTGCAGCGAGTGTGATGCGATGCATTGAAATTTCAATTCAATTCTACAAAGGGATGTGTCGATTATCGTCATCGATACCACCATCCATTGGTTACCACTTGGACATTGGTATCGGTTCGGTACCAAGACTCGATTGTCAAAAGTGGATTCCAATGACACCTACACCCGACAGGGATAAATATTTTATTTTAACATTTATTAACTTTATAGCTACATTATTAGTTTTGTAATCGGTTAACAATTTTCATAGCCAACTTTGAAACTATCTAGTTCAAAACAGCGACGGTGCCGGTGACATTGTTGAACTTCAGCTCATTGCACAACACAATCTACATTTCAAGATGTCAGAATCAACTCAAGAGACAACCGGCGAGCGAATGTCCTGCCAACACAAAATTAATTATACTAAACAATGTCTGTATCAATAAGTCAGACATTTAGATGTATTATTTTTATTTTTAGTACAAAATAAATAACCTAAACACGTCAAAATGTTCAGTTTCCTCCCTGCATTATACGCATCATTAGAACAATTATATTCAACGATTAAACTTTAATATCGTCATCGTCGTATGGTTAGGTAGGCTTGCTTTATATTGCGCCAAAAAGTAGGTCCATATTTATCTGTACTATCTACCTGATTAAAGAGTTTAGTGAAGTTTGAAGTGCTACTATGACACAATGCATTTATTGAAAAATATCATAAGCCTTAGTCCATGTAGATTTTGTAATGTTATAACGAATGGTGAATGTTGACAATAAAAGTATGTAACAACAGTTCTCATTGGCCAGGAGGCAACAATGCACTACCA